GCGTCTGGCTTTATGTGATTAACAACAGTGTCTCAGAGGCAGCACCAAGATAAGCAGCCACCATTTGTCTCAATGACCACTTTGCATCTATTTGTCAGTATCTTAACCAGCTTCATGAGTTTGTCATTTCGAATGTGTACCACTTCACAGCTGAACCTTTTCAAAGGTTAACAGGTGGAACTTTTTCCTCCTGAATGATTGAATATTGTGCTGATGTAGTGTTTGCATGGAAAAAACAGTCCTGGTCCCTTAATGAGATACAGCAGTCCATCATTAGCCTATTTTAAGAAATGAAGGTCAATTATTTGGAAAACATTAAGGACTGAAGGTTTTTTCAAGTTCAGTCACAAAAATCATCAAACACTGTGATGAAACTGGCTCTCCTGAGGATAACCGCAGGAAACGAAGCCACAGAGTTCCCTCTGCTGCACAGCAGAACTCAGAAATCAACAGCTAACAGCAGCTTAGATTAGAGTGAAACATGAGCTTTTCCCCGAGTTCAAGCAGCGGGTGTTTCTGAACATCAGCCTCGACTGTGGAACTGGCCCAAAGAAATCAAGAGGAAGAAGGGAAGTGCTGGAACTAAGAAAGACACAAGAGACCGGAAGGAACTTGGAGTTTTGATCTGAACTCCATCTGATTCTGACAATTTTGGTCGTCGCTGTATTTGAGAGGTTCAGAGAAGGTGGATGGTTTCTGCACTGAGAAGGAGCTGTGATGGAGGGCAATGCTGGAGGCGTTGTTTTGAGCTCAGAATTCGAGGTAGCAATGGACAGTAGCACCAGTGTTATTTTTTTTTAACAGTAAAATGTGATTTAAGCGACACTGAGTTGTATGCTGTTGGCATTTTGGAGGACTGCAAGTTAATCTCCATTACAGAAAAGTAGAGCCCAAACAATTTATCAGCAGGCTGATATTATTGGCCAATATTAGCTATGCGCCAATCTATGAGTATCTGTATTTATAACAGCCAATAAACAAAAACTGAAAAGGAAAGAAGAGATGAGAGAAACACCTTTTGAGGATTGACATTGCATTGTTTGCCCAGAGGGAACTCTGCAGCGTCCTTGTGGCAGCCGCGTGTGTGGAATGCCACAAAGGCAACAACCGATCTGAGCAGCGTCCGGCAGCCGCTACGCAAGTAAATGCAAAACTACACATAACAAATGTTGGAAATTCTTTGTGATTTGTGTATTAGAAAGAAAAAAATGGACTGATATATCAGAATATCGGAATTTTAAATCACAGATCTGGGATAATTCAGTTTAATGCAACAAACCTCTTCATGAAGATCATATTCTTTCCTTTTTGTAGCTGCACTTCTATATAAAATACCAAAACAGGTAAAACGCCCGTTTCAGGTGAAGGCTTGCTTCTTTTTGTTATCTTTAATAAGCATATTTTTGTGGGTTCAGGCTGATTGTCTGACAGAACCAGACATGTCGTGGCTTCAGGAAAGCTGCTCACCTCTTCTGACATTTTACAGACCAGAAGATTAAGAGAGAAAATAAGCAGTAGATTATATAGAGAGAGACTGAAAAAATCATTATGCGAGGTATAAGCAGGACATTCTTCAGGCCTTTCCTCTGAATTACAGTCTTTCGAAAGCTGTTGAATAAGCTGAAAAATGTTATAATTTCACCCTAAGAAAACCTATGCCTCGATGCTGTTTGACCTGCAAATCGATCACTCCACGCTTGCCAGACGAGCACACAAGTAACGTGTAACTCTGATCTGTAACCACCTCTGCCAGCTCTGCCTTCTCTTCCACAATCAAGTCTAAAAATGCTACCGAAGCCGCTTTAAGAAATCAGCGCTAAACGTGGCGAGCAGCATCAATCACGCCTGATCTTATTTGCCTTCATCTCGATCTGAGAAGCGTGGTGACGGCGATGTAGCTGGTGTTGATGAGAGGGAGGCTGGACGCTCGGCACACCTGCTGTTTGAACCCTCTGTTCACATTCAGCACAGTCTGTCGGTATCTGTGACACACAGAGACACGCACACTCGCACCTTTTGGATGATAAACACACACGTAGAATCGGGCCTCAGCTGGCTTTTACTTGTGTCTCTCTTCCAGATGAATGTTTGATGTTTTGGGAGATCATTCGATGTCTTTGAATCATTTGAGCAATGATAGAGCTAAAACTTAACAGCTTATTATCTAAACTGAAATCTCAGAAAATCGTGGCGGCGGTGGCGACACTTTTAGCCGTTTTCAAGCATTATTGGATTACTGACTTCACTCTTATTCCATTTTATGGTCTTGTTTTTGCCTTTCTTGTG